AAAATCTGTAAATCTCTCTCGATCTACGTCGACGTCTCGCTTTCTGTTGCCGAAATATTTCATACAAGTTTCTTTGTGAAACCAAATCTTTCTTTCGTTTTGCTTTGCACACGTGGAGGCTGCATGTAAACAAACCAAATCCACACAAACAAGACCTTTTAAATCCAGCTTCTGTTGGGAGATAAGAATCGTGTGGATTTTTCTTTTCAGCCAAGAAAGTAGCGCGACTGTGACTCACGTTGCACCTCCTGCCACGTGACTATCGTACGTTCACGTATCGACGCCGATTCGACGTATCGTGCAGCCCCGCTACATCCTTCAGCTTTTGCGAGTTTCCTCTTGCTGCGTCGTCTTTTGCTGAGTTTGTGTCGACTTTCCCGAGACCGAAATAGCTCTTGTTGTTCCCTGAAATCAAACACGGTGATGTTTCCCGGTACTGCCGCCCGCGTTCCTCATTTTTCGGGTTCCTCTAATCGTCCGCCTTTGCAACTCGTCTGCCGTGTCCGTCTGCTGAGGAAGGAAGCTGTTATGCTGTGCCGCGCCGGCCTGTGTGTCTAATTGACTGTCTTCCATTTAGCAGGCATCTGAGCAGGTCAACTCACTTAACCTCTTATGAATAACATGTCCCTTCTCGCACTAAGGGTTTCTAAGTAAGATGTAGCCATTACTGGGAGTGGGGCTCCATGAAGTGTGTAAATATTCATATCAGGTTAGCAGTTTTTCTTTTTTTTTCCCTTCCCATCTCCAAGCGAGAATCCTCATTGATTCGTAGCGCCGAGGTGGGGCAGGTAGAAATAATGTAATATCATTTTTGGCCCGAGTCCTCCCATATTTGAATATGAAATGACAATTTGTCAAATCCTGCTTGTCTCTATTTTGGAGGAAATGAGTTTTATCGCAGCCAAATCCTCTCCTTGAGCGAGCGCGCACACGTATCAGACAGATTGCCGCTAGTTCTTCATCCACCAGATAATGTCTCGCTGGCTTATGACCAGCAGACTTATGAGAAATATAAACATTCTGGCATAAAGTGCCCAACTGAGGCTGCGTCTGTCTAATTGTGAATAACGATGGGAGAAGCGTGCGTCCTGATAGAAATGTGACGATCCAGCCTTGAAATGGTTGAACTGTGGCTTTGATAAGAATCCGGGTGCAGGTGTCGATGGCCTTGATCGGCTTTCAGACAGAACGGCGTCTCGTTTTTGTGCCGTTTTGGCTGTAAACGAGTCAAGACGTTGCAATCCCACATTATGTTTTCCATTGTAATTATACTGGAAACCTGCATGATTAAGATCAGTTTACACACTTTGCTGAATAGGCTGCCGGACACATCATTACTCAGAAGTCATACGCGGTCATTATTCACACTGCGGTTGGTAGGCAGAGAAATCAATCACACGGGAGTGTCATCAGACCATTCTGGCTCAGAATTGTCATCATTCAGAGCACTAAGCCAGCCACAGCCGTGTTGAAATGGACCATCATTTTCTGCCACTAAATTATTCAGTACAAGATGGAAGTGTGTGATAGACTGATGATAGAACGGTGATGGGCAGTCCACTCACCTTTTTATGATTTTATGGCGAGTGGAATGGGAGCCGGGAGAGAATGCTCCAATTTTCAAACTGATGGCACATATGAAGAGTACCGCGTGAAGTGAGGAATCTAAAACTTTACTATTTGACCACAGAGAGCAGATATTTCCAGCACTGTAGTAGCTCAAGATGCTTCCCAACTTAAGGCCGGGAGGGCCGGGATGTTTATTTGCTTTGTGTGCGAGTGTCTGTATCGTCTCACCAGCGCTCGCTTGTTTATGAGCAGCTCCATCAGAGAAATATAATTACGGGCGAATGAGCCACGGCGGTGAAACTTTTGTCAGTCTGTCACTTTCACTCAGGCCGTTTTATTTACGTTTTCTTTAAAAGCACAAAGTAGCTGTTGCACCTACGATGATGGGGAAAGCCAAAAAGGTGTAATTAAATAGTTTTCCAATTGCGCGCCGGCCAGACTGGTCTTATTTAATCAGAATTTCAATGAGGAAGTGTGTTGGCAGGCAGCGCCGCGGTGCATATTAGATGAGTAGCACATTTCTGTGACCACCCAGTTGTACAGCAGCGGCCCTGTTTTCCAGCATCAACAGGTCCACTGAGGAGGACGAGGCTGGCCGCCGCATACAGGCCTCTATTGATCAGCTGTGATTACACAAGTGAAAGCGCACACATGTGCATACACTCAACCACCCCTACGCGCAAATACACAAATGCCTATATTTGTAAAATAGCCCATAGTACACTCATGCCGTTTCATCACCGCTCCGAAGGGATGGGGAGGAAGTCGGAGAGGGGACGTCTCAGGGGCCTCGACAGATTGGCTGCTCGGTTGCCCATGGAGACAACATATGGGAGAGAAGCGTGTTGTGGTTGGAAGCTTGTTTTATCAAGACCGGCGCGCTCATCGGGTTTTTGAAGAAGCATTGAATATCCACCGAGAATCTAAAAATAAAACAGACAGAACTTGAGGATGCAGAGTCACTGTATTGTATTAATATCCCCGGAGAGAAAGGTAAAATGAGTCACACACGCGCTCGCTTTCAAACACTCGGCGATATAGTTTCAGTTGGGCATAAAGTTAGAATTCAGCTTGTTGTTGTGTCTCGGCTGCAACACCCTCAAGGCTGGCTTGCTGTCATGGTAACCAAGCCCTCCGATGTCACTTTCCCTAATTTTAGCTCTTGCGGTTCTCACGGTTGGTCAGCTTCACCCCGGCCAGAACCACTCTTCCGGCAAAATGGTAACAGACACCACCTCGGTGTGTGTAAGTGTTTAAACCCCTGCACAGAACCTTTTCATGTCATCATTTATTCATGGGACAGTGAATATCGTCAATTACCTTTTCAGATTTGTGAATAATGCAGCTGCCTGTTGTCCCACTTGCACTTTGGATGGTTGTTAATGGGGTGGGGGGAAGAAATAAAGAGCTAAACAAGTAGATGTA